TATTGCGAACATAGACGTCCCCGTTAACTGCCTCTAAAGGTAATTTTGCCATCGTAGCCACGCTTGGCAGGCGGATTGGCGACCCATTTCCTGTATCAGTTTCCTTCTATCGCCTCTTACGATACCCACGGGACGGTATGGCGTAATGAATATTGTATACCGCCACTACACGGCTATCGATTTTTATAATATGTGTTAAATATCCAGGTCGGCGATGGCAAGCAACATGTAAGAAACGAGACGTCGATGCGATCGATTATCGGTTACTTCGGCAAACCTTCCTTCACAATAGCAGACATTCATGTTCAACAACAGTTCGAGGGCTTAAAAATAAGGAATTAATTAAAATATTATCAATTTTACTAAGCTTTTTCCTTAATTTTTTTTCTATTTTATTTTAAATTCTTTCATTAATTAAATAACTTTTTTTAATTAATTACGTCTATCTCCCCAACACGTCAATCGATTTTTGCTTCGGCATTCCCGCCATCTATCGGTCAACTTAATGCTAGAATTGTCTGACTGCGGTATTATTATATTTATGCTACCTATAAGGGCGACACTGAAAATTTATAGACTGGCCATTTGTAAACGATACAATAAAAAAATAAGTTAAAATTTTGTAAATGAAACTCTTTGCCAATATTATTGTTTATGTATTTTACTAATTTGTCATTTGTTTACGATTTGGCGGCAAATTGAAAATTGTCTGTGTTTGTCAGCATGAATTTCACGCGAGAAAATATTTGTACAATGATTTTTAATGACTTTCGATGACATTTAAGTCAACAACAAAGTTATGATAGACTTCGACTGGGCTTTCACGATGAAGCCCCATCTCATGCCACTGTTTACAACTGGTAATAAGTTAAAACTTCGCCCTTCTACGGCGATGACTGAAGATAGCATCAGTGTTGTGCGGCGTATGATAGATCCTGACAGAACAGTGACTTATCAGCAGATTCGGCCAAGCTTAGGCATCGGTATGAGTCAAGTGCACAAAATCCTCCATGAACATTTAGCGGTCAGGAAGCTTTGTACCCGGTGGATACCTCATAATTTGACAGATGCCCAAAAACTCCGTCGTGTTGATTGGTGTCGTGAAATGGTTCAAAAATTTTACGAAGTTGACTCAAATGCTTTGTTCGACATACTTACGGGTGACGACAGCTGTATTTATTGTTATCATCCTGAAACTAAGAGACAGTCTGCTATCTGGGTGTTTCCTTCCGAGGAGTTGCCAACTAAAGTGAAGAGAGGTCGAAACGTGGGAAAAATTATGGTGGCCTCGTTCTTCGGAAGGACCGGTCATTACGCAACAATTGTTTTAGAGGATCGAAAAACAGTAAATGCAGAGTGGTATACTAACAATTGTTTGCGCTTGTCTTGGAAAAAGTTCGTGAGAAACGACCTCGCAGTAGGATCTTCCTTCACTACGACAACGCCTCGTCGCACAACGCCAAGCAAACAATCGACTACTTGGCGACGTCAGGCGTGGAATTACTGAGTCACCTGCCCTATAGCCCTGACCTCGCACCTTGCGATTTTCATTTATTTCCGTAAATAAAAGAAAAACTTCGAAGAAAACGTTTTATGGACGCCGAGGAAGCAGTGGCTGCGTTTCAAAATCCCGTCGAAGATACCAATAAGGACGACTTGGCAAAGTGCTTTTATCAATGGTTCCATCGGATGCAGCGATGTATTGATGTAAACAGACACCATTTTGAAAAGATATAATAAAACTAATAACTTGCTAGTTTGTTCAGTTTTTGATTTTCTAAGAACTTTCAATGTCACCCACGTATACCTATTTATTATGAATTATTATTAATTATCATTTTGAGACTCGAAACATTTACGGGCTAACAAAGTAGAATTAGTAGAAATATTTTACAAATGAATAAAAAATACAGCTATATTCTATTGTTATACAGATTCCAAATTGTAATTCACCTAAACTCGGAAAAAAAAAACTCAGAAATAACTGTTCTATAAATATATTAACACAAGTAATCTTATAATTATACTGCAAAACATGGAAATAGATGGGCACTTCTATTATTTCCTTATCACAAAAACTATTATTATGGTTATAGGAAACATATTATTTTTTAATTTAGGAAATTTTCTTTGTCGAGTATTTAGAATGAAAAATAATAGTTAAAATCTAACTTTTCAATAATTTATAACTTCATTTAAAATGCTCTTTATATAAGAAGGAAGAACTTTTAAAACACTGCTACGTTATAATTCATTCTTCGTCATATCTTGAACGCGAAGAAATATTTCTCTTTGTTCAATTTGTTTGAACATCTGGACTATTCGATGCAATTTCTTCTTGAACAGTTTAAAAATGTAACTTTCATGAAGTTACTCTTTTTATGTAGGGAAATAAGGCGGTTTTATATGATAACGCAGGAAAACTGGGTGTACTTGTTCAAAGGTATGGCGGTAGTGTCCGATGATGGAAATGGGAGACACATATTATATAACATAATTAACGCACACCCTGAATTTCTATCATTTTTAATATAAGTAATTTTTTATCCCAAAAATAATTAAACGAATACGTAAAACCGCAAAACAATAAAGATCGTAACCACAAAAGACAGTTAAAAGAGTTAAAAGAGCAGTTTTATTTGTATTAATACAAATTCCGTTATTCAATACAAAATAAAGAAAAATTAACCTTATTTCAAGCACGTTAAAGTCTTTGTGTTTGTGGATATGTACTGTGAACACAACATTCTTCCGGAATTATTACAACTAATATAATAAATAATCAATGCATAAATATATTTAACTAAAAAGTCAGTGTGTGAAATCGATTCAGTAAACGATTCTGAACAAACTACTTTCAGGATGTGCGTTAATGTTATGTTACGTGTTGTATAATATACATGTAACATAATTAACGCATATATATATATATATATAATATGTGTCTCGGGTTGTTTTGTTTGTTTTTTGTGTTTTTTAGGATTTTATTACGCTAAAACAGTGCAATTTACTAACTAGGAACCGCTTAGCACCAGATAGGATTTTGGTCAAAATTAAACGAAAAAAATAGGTTGACATAGTTTACATATTTTATACGTTATCTCATTTTTACGTAATAGAACATTGAATAAACTATATTTAATATTATAAGTGTAAACACGAATTTTTGTGTTTTTTTTTCATAATACCTGAATATAGTAGCATAATAGTTTACGTCATAATTATAAAAATGTTTCTTCCGACAATCCACATTTGCTACAGATACTACTCTAACCGCAAAACAAGCAATTTTGCGGAGCTCATGGCATATAATTTTTTTTAGAGTTTGTTGCAAAGAAAGACTGCAAAAATGGTAAAACTACAGCGAAACATGAAATATAAACAGCAAATGAAAATGCTAAACCTAACGACACTAGAGTGCCGCAGATAGAGAGGTGGTTTGATTGAAACATACAAAATTCTGACTGATGCGCCTACTTTGCAAAATTTATACTTACTGAATAGCAACAAACGTATGAGATGACATCAACTTAAGCTCTGCCATAGGGCTGCCAATTGAATTTTACTACAAATCGTTTTGTCACTACAGTGAACGCTTTCAAATACGGATTTTTTTTAATAAGAAAAGGGTGACAAGCGAGCACACAGTCCACCTGATGGTAAGTGGTTGCTGTGGCCCATAGACATCTCCATCCATCCTCGTTTGCGTATCAAAATGAAGATGCGTTGTCAGCCTTGAGGACTAAGATAGAATGCCTCTTTTCCAGTAAAAAGGGTTTCCGGTTCTCAACACTCACCATACGAAACACAGCAGCATTAAGCTGCTATTTGACGCTGGTATTCTGTGAGAGCATGGTCCTTCCCCGGTCGAGCCGACCCATTCGTGCTACGACTATACAATTAGTATAGCTGCAGCATGGCTCTACCACGTAAAAAAATTTGATAAAATGGATGGATGGATTGGATAAAATCTCTAAACATTAAACGGCACACTCATCAGCTTTTAGCTGCTAGTATGTTAATGTATTATTAATAATAATATTAATAATAATATAATAGCGGCGTAGGGAAGTGACGACCCCATCGCCCGCTGACGTAACAGTTATGTGACAAAACTGCTACGTCGGCGCAGTCAGTCAGCATCCTGCCAAGAGGTGTGAGCGCCGTGCCTAGGCAAGTAGGTGGTGTGTGTTGTAGGTGCAAAGGTCCGTTTGTGCATATGACCCAACCACGAAACGGTGCCGGGTTTGGGCGTCTCCCGTTATTTGGCGCCCATAAAATGGATGATGGCACAAAGAGGAACGCGCATAGGGCCGCTGCCTGGGGGTCGCCGGGGCGCGTCTGGAGCTGGCGCTGGACGCGGCAGCATGCGGGCCGCCAGCCGAGCGCGAGGAGCTGCACGATCACCTAGCAGCCCCTCGCATCCATCATCCCCACCAGAAGGCTTGGTGTCGGCTGGGTCTTCTCGGACTCAGCAAGCGGCACCCGCCGCTGGTGGAGCACGTCGCATGCGTTGGACAAAACCTATGAATGAAAACGCATTGCGGGCGTACTATAGGGCGAAAGGGGAAGAAACTGTGGGAATAGCGTATAGGTCTCGGATGCATTGCTTTTTTGCTGAGCTGGAGCCTTCTACCCTCGTCACGGAACAAAACCTGGCAGACCGAGTTCGGTACATCATGCGCTCGAAAATATTTGATGATGCCGAACTCGGACGACTACGACGTGAGGCTATTCCGTCGTCGAATGAATCGGCTATGGCTGGAGATGCAGCTCCACATTCGACAGACCAGCATCCACACGTGGAAGCCACCCTGGATCTTCCCGTTGTGGTTGATGCGAACGACGATGAAATGGTCTCCCACGAACTAGAGAAAATGAGGAGTATACTGGATGAGGCGATTTTGGAAACGCGCAGCATTCCTCTCGAAAATCGACCGTGACTTCCCCGCATACCCCTAAGCAAGCGAAATTGGGCTGTCGTGAGGGCTCTTAACCCAATGCTGGTGACCTATTTGGAAGCCAGCCGGGACCTTTGCGAGACGGACTCAATTCTCTTTGGCGCCGCAGTGGCAGTTTGCCGTATTATTGGCGCCAAACTTCCCATGGCTGGACGCGCTACTACACAAAGTAGCGCCATCCCAGCCTGGAGAAAAAGAATCGAGGACCGTATCGCAAAGGCAAGGGCCCTTATCGGCAGACTGACAAGCTTCAGGTCGGGTAATAATAGACCGAGGATTATGCGCACCGTTAGGATGGCGTTTGCTGGGACAAATATCAGTTTGTCCCAGCCGGATATCACGCAGAAACTAACGGAGCGCATAGACGACCTGAAGCAAAAGATCGCTGCTTGGGGGAAGCGGATTCGACGATTTACCGACAGGTCAAGGCGGTTCAACCAGAATCGTCTCTTCCAGAGTGATCAGAAGAGGCTCTATAAATCATTGGAGCGGCCAAAGGTATGTGGAGCGGGCCAAGGACCGGATCAGGCAGACATTATCGCATTCTGGCGTGGCCTGTGGTCAGAGCCCGTAAACCACAGCGAGGGCCCTTGGATGGAAGCTGTGGCGAGCCAGGGTGCGAGTGTTACGCCTATGGACCCCATCACCGTAACGCCGGAAGACGTGGCTGAGGCGGTCCGTAGGGCCCCGAACTGGAAAAGTCCGGGGCTCGACGGGCTGCATCATTACTGGCTGAAGGGGTTCATAGTGTGTCACGCTGTGCTCGCCCGACAGTTTCAAGAGGCTCTCGACCAGAAGTCGCTCCCGAGCCTCTTCACTACTGGGATCACTCACTTGGTTCCTAAAGATCAGGATACCACAGACCCGAGCAAATACCGCCCCCATCACGTGTCTACCCACCATATATAAGACACTGACATCCATTTTGAGCGCGAGAATCACTCGGCACCTGGAGCTAAACCAGTTGATGTCACGCGCTCAAAATGGATGTCGGGGCGGTGGTCGTGGAACCAAGGAACCACTCCTCATTGACGCGGTCATTGGCAAAGTGGTGAAACGCAACCGTCGGAACTTCTCTGCCGCCTGGATAGACTATAGAAAGGCATTCGACTCGGTGCCCCATACATGGCTAAAGAGGGTCCTCGAGCTGTACAAGATTGACTGTACAGTTAGAGACTTCCTCGAGCAGTGTATGGGGCAGTGGAGTACGATCCTTTGTCATCTGGGCGAGCGGATGATGGCTGCGGAGAACCACATAAGGATAAGAAGGGGTATCTTCCAGGGCGATTGTCTGAGTCCAATCTGGTTCTGCCTCTCTCTAAGCCCTCTCAGTACCTTACTGGAGGGCTCCGGGAGGGGATTTCAGCTACGGAGAGGAGGGACAAAAGTGACCCACCTTTTCTATATGGATGACCTCAAGTTATTCGCTTCCAGTCGCTCCCATCTTATGGAACTGCTAAACATCACTTGTGAATTTAGCAGTTCCATTGGAATGGAGCTGGGGACGGATAAGTGTGCGGTCCTCCATGTTGAGAGGGGAAGGGTTGCTAACTCTGAGGGCATAGACTTGTCTATGCCCGTCAACTTAAGGACCCTTTCCGAGGCTGAAACATACCGATACCTGGGTATGTCACAGAACATCGGTATCGATGAGGCTGGTATGAAACAGTCAGTTTGCGACGTGTTTTATGCACGCTTGACCAAAGTGCTTAACAGCCTTTTGTCCGGTGTGAATAAGTCACACGCATATAATTGCTGGGTCATGCCTGTCCTCATGTATACCTTTGGCATACTCAGGTGGACTCAGACTGAGCTTAACGCCCTGGATAGAAAAGTCCGCACTACCATGACGTCCCATAGGATGCATCATCCGAGATCGTCGGTAATGAGGCTGTACTTGCCGCGAAAGCATGGTGGACGTGGCTTTCTGAGCGCGCTCACCATGCATAATCGCGAAGTGTGCAGTCTCCGTCAATACTTCTTGACGAGATCGGATGATCCATTCTATAATGACGTCATTTCTAGTGATAAAGGGCTTACCCCTCTATCCTTAGCCAACGAGCAATGGCAGGACCCGGCAGTGCTTAGCATTCCCGACCGGGAGACCGTATGGAAGGAGAAGGAGCTCCACGGGAGGTACTACAAGGCTCTACATGAGCCCTTCGTAGATACAGTCGCCTCCCTCAACTGGCTACGTTTCGGTGACCTTTTCGGGGGAAACCGAGGGTTTTGTCTGTGCAATACAAGATCAGGTTATTAAGACCAACAACTATCGGAGATACATCCTAAAGGATGGCACCGTCGACGTCTGTCGAGCTTGTCGCCATCCCGGGGAGTCACTTAGGCATGTCATCTCCGGTTGTTCGGCGCTTTCTAACTCTGAGTACTTGCACAGGCACAACCTAGTAGCCAGAATTCTACACCAGGAGCTCGCTCTGAAATACGGTCTCGTGGACCGGAAAGTGCCGTATTACAAGTACTTGCCGGAAGCCGTGCTCGAAAATGACCGCGCCAGGCTCTACTGGGACCGGGCCATCATCACAGACAGGACTATTCTTGCGAATAAACCTGATATTGTGCTGATGGACCGGGCACAGTCAAGAATATTTTTGGTCGATATTACCATCCCGTATGACGAGAACCTCGTGAAAGCCGAAACAGATAAGCAATCAAAGTATCTGGACCTGGCTCACGAGGTGACCGACATGTGGGGTGGTATGCCGACCGAAATTATTCCTGTAGTCGTCTCTGCGAATGGGCTAATCCCAGTTAGCCTCTCTGGTCATCTGAGGCGACTGGGACTCCGTGACGGACCGCTCCGGGCTCAAATGCAGAAGGCGGTGCTCCTTGATACTGCCCGCATCGTCCGCCGGTTTCTTTCCCTTTCCCCCTAACCCTCGGCCGTTTGGTCTCCCCTGCCGAGGGCTTCCATCTGGTTGGGCTTTTATTTATTTATGTATTTTTGTATTTATTTTATTTTATTAATATTTATGTATATTTATCTTTTCATTTTCATTTATAATTATATATTTATACATCCCAACCAGATGAGAAAACTATATAGATACCCCACATAATAATAATTCAAATGCAGAAGGCGGTGCTCCTCGATACCGCCCGCATTGTCCGCCGGTTTCTTTCCCTTTCCCCCTAACCCTCGGCCGTTTGGTCTCCCCTGCCGAGGGCCTCCATCTGGTTGGGCTTTTACTTATTTATGTACTTTTATATTTATTTTATGTTATTGATATTTATGTATATTTATCTTTTCATTTTCATTTATAATTATATATTTATAGAACCCAACCAGATGAGAAAACTATATAGATACCCCATAATATAATGTTAACTTCCGTATACCGTGTAGTGGCGGTGAAAGAATATCCACTACCCCATATCATCCCGTGGGTGTCGTAGGAGACGACAGAGGGAAGCAAATGAGAAGATAGGCAGCATGTATTCTTAACAACGAATAAAAATAAAAACATTCGGTTGCCAACCCGCTTACCAAGCGTGGCAACTGTGGTAAATATATGAGGCAATCTATGAGGGTGGCGGGTGTGTTCAGACGTGGACTTTAAAAAGCTGTAACAGTAACGGTAATGTTAACCTCAGCTGATTATAGAGAGGACTATGGTCGGAGTTTCTCTGCTTGATAGACTTCGTAATGAAATCAGCAATAAAAATAGAATAACTGATGTAACCTAACGAATCAGTAAGCTGAAGAGGCAAATCACCGGTCACATAACTCAAAAAAGCGACAACCTATTGGGAATAATGGTTTTCGAGTGGAGTCAGGAAGTTGTTTGTATTTCCAACAACTTTCTGACCCCCTTGACCGAAGCATATAATGCCGTTGGTCGTGCCCCTGATGTGTCTCCGATGGTGTCGGATTGCCGTCCTATCGAACTATTAAGGTGGTCATTCACAGGCGTTCCATTCGGCGCCGCTCCATTTGGATCGGCTCGATTTGGAGCGTTGTAAAGTTCTTATCACACTCACAGGCACGCCAGGGAGTCATCGCGAGTATATGGGTATTAATCTAATTACCGACATTTTTTTATTTTTTTTTTTTTTGAATTTTTTTTTTAAATATATCTCTTAAAATATTTTGATAAAAATGTAAAATAAATAATATTAATCTGACGCGCTCCGTTTAAATTACTATAAAACAATACCTGAGCCAATATCGTAACAACAAAGTACATAAAATTTAACATCAACCACTAATGAATTAAGTCAAAAGCGTTTTCAACATTTCAAAAGATATAACGGCAAACGATTTATTTTTATGATAATTTTCAACCTCAAGTTCAGTATTAAATATTGCATATAAGTTTAACCTTAAGTATAGAAAATAATTGTTACAATCCTTATTTTTAGATATGTGAAACCTAAATTTTAATGAAATAAATCAAAAGAATACATGGTTGTATTGATGTTTTAAAAAATACTTTCTTAGGAAAACTGCTTTGTAAACCGCCATCTACTCCATTCTAAAATCATTTTATCGAACGAAAATTGATTGGCTCTCAAGGTGGTACGTAAAGATGACGCTAGATGGCATAAATACGGCTAGGTAAGAAGTCGATTATGGTGTGAATCACAAACTTGTATCAGCAGCGTATCGGAGTAAAAACTCGATATCTAGATATTGAAATACATATGTATATAGTTTTAATATCAGATATTGAAACCCGAAATCTGATATAGAGACGATTCTCAGAAAACGCGATATGACCCAGGCCTAAAGCAAACTGAGATAAATGGAGCGCGCGTTTTCGCATTAACGAACGAGTTGAACAACTCGGCGCGAAGGCATGACGCGCATCCACAGTTGGATCGTTTGGAATTCTCTTTTCGTGCCAGTCCAATTGGACTGCATAGGTATTGACATTCACGAGCACTTTTTGGAAATGACAGCGAGCCTTATGGAACGTTGGCGCGTCCGTGAATGCCCAGCTTAAGAGTGAGTGAAATGAAAGCGCACCTGTGTTTGCTTACACACTCGTGCACATGTCCAGCGCAGATATCTAGCCTTCTTTGATCATTTGACATTTAAGTCATTATTTTAATTATTTTTATATGTTTTCTGTTTCAACCTTCTACCTCTACAAATAAGTAAATCTGTAAAATAACTGACACATACCCACAACTTCAGATAAGCGCACTATAAATTATAGGTTTGAGAATACTATCGAAATTTACGGTAATAGCTTTTCGGTGTTCCATATAATAGGGTTCTTTCAGTTCATATATTTAAGATAAGTCTGTAAGTTACTTATTAAACATTATTAGAAATAAGACACGAGCACACGGTCCTCAAGATAGTAAGTTGATGCCGTAGCCTATTTATTTATCTTAAAGTAAGAATGAAATCAAAAAAAAGGTAAAGTAAAAATGCCTCATTTTCAGTAAAAACGGGCTCTAGTTTACATAGGCTTATTTAGAATTACAAATGCTTTTTGAATAAAGTTAGAAAATTTCTATATTTTTACGTACTAATAGTTAATTTACTACATCAAAAAATCCGAAGAAAAATTTCGAAGTAGTTTGAAATAAAAAATAATTACTTTTACGATTTTTCTTCAAAGCATCAACTGATTTTAATGCGGTTTACGGTAATCACTTTTTGCCTTTTTACGGCGTTTTTTGAGTTTAAGTTCTGATTAGATTTTGGAATGATCGTTAGATCTGTTTAAAATTGATTTCAAAGAAAAAAATTTTTTGGATTTTTTAGATTTTGAGATTTCTCTAAATTTACTGGTCTGGGTTGGTGCAAATGGTATACAAAATCTAAGTATGCCCTTTGATGAAGCCCTTTCGAACGCCGCCAAGTTCGTTCAAATCGATCAAGCCATTCAAAAATTATGAGAGATTACATACACATATGCATTCACACACATGCATAT